CCCCCGCCCCCGCAAGAGTAGCCCTGGTTGGAACAAGCGCCAGGCTGGGCTGACAGCCCGTCTGATGCGTGGCAGCCGTCGGAGGGACTTGGGGTTGGTTCCCATCCTGGGCAGAAGTTGCCATCTGACTCAGAGCAGCCCTTCCGCTCTGGGATGCGCTGGGCAGGTGCCCTGGGACCCTGTCTCCAGTTCTGCTCCCCTCCAGGCAGAAAGGGCGCCCTGGAACGGAGAGTAGGGGATCCCCAGAGAGCAGCTGAAGGGACCGGCTGTGGAGCCTAAAGATGAGAAAGCTGAGAGAAAGCATGATGAGATGTAGGCCATGTGACCATTCTTAGGTAATCTGTCACTTCATTTGAAAGAAACGGAATTGACCCTAAGGCTCCTTTGAGTTTTCTTCTTTTTCCATCAGTGGTCCTTGCAGTGAGTATTTTTCTGATTGTAATATAGCTCGCCAGCAACTGAGCAGAGGGTTCTTTCCAGGCTGGGGATCACAGAGGCCAACTTCCAATCTTCCTAACTTCAAAAAAAAGAGCTCCCAGGCACCATGATGTCTGTTGCTCATATGACTTCTTGGTTTCAGAACTGAGCGAAGTCCAGATAGCAGTAAAGGCAGCAAGATATTTCAATTCAAGGATTATAGGAACATGTGGTGGGGGAGGCAGATCTTGAATTACGGCCTGGTTAGTAAAACTCTCTTGCTGATTCTGATCCCCAGTTTTCAATGCTGTGTTTTATGTGAAGGAACCTTGTTATGGAGAGCAGAAGGTGATGCTTGGCAGCTCTCGCACCCTGATCCCAACCTGAAATCCACTTCTGCTGGAAAGGCAGTTGTCGGTTATTCTTACTAGCTTGTTCTCTTTCCTTGCAGGTTTCCTCAGAGGCTTTCCGGAACAAGGACAAGGAGCTGGGAGGCCACCAGGATGTCTGGCCTGCTTTGGTCTGATGTGTCTCAAAGGTAGCTGGCCCCTCCTATGAGGATTCGTACGACCACTCTAGTGATCGATCTCTAGGAATAGGTTTCCTTGATTGCTCTGCCTCAGTTGAGCAGCAGAACTGCTTATTGTGGAACCCCCTCTTTTTCTCTCTAGCATGTCAGAAACCTGGTCACAGCAGCCGCCACCCCCCCAGCAGCCCTCACATCATGGGGCCACAGCTGCCCTTCCAGACCACCCCATCCCACCCAGTGCGGTGACCGAGAATCCTTTGGGCTGTGCCGTGTATGGCATCCTCCTGCAGCCAGAGCCCAGCGGGCTGCAGCACCCACCCCTCTCTGCCAGCGGTGGAGGGGAGGCCTCTCCCAAATGTGGGGTTTGTGGACACGACCTGTCTCACCTCTCCAACCCCCAGGAGCACCAGTGCCTACAAGGTGGCCACGACCGCTCCTTCCAGTGCACTCAGTGCTTGAAGATTTTTCATCAAGCCACAGACCTCCTGGAGCATCAGTGCCTGCAGGTGGAACAGAAGCCCTTCGTCTGTGGTGTCTGCAAGATGGGCTTCTCTCTACTCACCTCGCTGGCCCAACACCACAGTGTCCATAATGGCAACACGGCCGTCAAGTGCTCCATCTGCGAAAAGACCTACAAGGCGGCGGCGGCAGCAGCGGCAGCTCCCGAGGAACCTGCCCCGCCACAGCAGCCAGCGGCCCTCAACCGGGCCCCAGTGGAGAAGCCTTACAGCTGCTCCATCTGCCAGAAGCCCTTCAAGCACCTCTCGGAGCTGTCACGACACGAGCGGGTGCACACTGGGGAGAAGCCCTACAAGTGCAGCCTGTGCGACAAGAGCTTCAGCCAGTCCTCGCACCTGGTACACCACAAGCGCACACATAGTGCAGAACGGCCCTATAAATGCACCGTGTGTGAGAAGGCCTTCAAGCACCGCTCCCATTTGGTGCGCCACATGTACGCCCACTCAGGCGAGGCCCACCTCTTCCGCTGCAACGTCTGTGAGCTGCACTTCAAAGAGTCCTCGGAGCTGTTGCAGCACCCCTGCACGCCCAGCGGTGAGCGGCCCTTCCGCTGTGCGGCTTGCCACAAGGCCTTCCGGCGGCCCTCAGACCTCCGACAGCATGAGCGGACCCACAGCACAGAGCGCCCCTTTCAGTGTGACCTTTGCCAGATGAGCTTCAAGCAGCAGTATGCGCTCATGCGACACCGCCGCACTCACAAGGCTGTGGCCCCCGCCCCTTCTTCGGAGCAGGAGGCCGCCCCGCCGCCCTTCAAGTGCTCATTGTGTGAGAAAGGCTTCGTTCAGCCAGCCCACCTGCTCTACCACCAGCACGTCCATGGCATTGAGAACCTCTTCAAGTGCAACGCCTGCCAGAAGGGCTTCAGCCAGTCCTCTGAGCTGCTGCGCCACCGCTGCGTGCAGAGTGCTGAGCGGCCTTTCAAGTGCACAGCCTGCAGCAAGGCCTACAAGCGGGCCTCCGCCTTGCAGAAGCACCAGCTGGCTTCGCACTGTGCCGAGAAGCCTCTCCGCTGTACCCTGTGCGAACGGCGCTTCTTCTCCTCCTCAGAGTTTGTGCAGCACCGCTGTGATCCTGCCCGCGAACGGCCCCTGAAGTGCCCAGACTGCCAGAAGCGCTTCAAGTATGCCTCTGACCTGCAGCGCCACCGTCGTGTCCACACGGGAGAAAAGCCGTACAAGTGCCCCTCCTGCGAGAAGGCCTTCAAGCAGCGGGAGCACCTGAACAAGCACCACGGGGTCCACACCCGGGAGCAGCACTACAAGTGCATGTGGTGTGGCGAGCGCTTCCTGGACCTGGGCCTGCTGCAGGAGCACAGCGCACAACACACCTCCGCGGAAGGCACTTACACAGTGGCTCCCTGCCTGCCCTGAGCAGCCCCTCTGCCAAGCACAGCTCTCCTCTCCTTCTGGAGCTGGTCCCAGCCTGCCAGGAGAGAGCCCTTCAATGGGCAAACCTGAGAGAGTGAACTAAGCCACAGAAGCGAGGGGACCGTGCAGTGCCCAAGTCCGAGTTTGGCCGTGTCTGGCTTTGGAAAGACTGGCTGTTTAAGCCTGCCAGGCCTTGCCGTGGTTCCATTGTGCTTGCCAAGCAAAGGGCCGTCTCCCGAGTGAAGCCTTTGCTGTTTGTGGACGATGGAGCAGGACTCAGAGCGGCTGAGAAGGAGCCGTGAAGAAGCACTCGGGAGGCATGCATGCCAGGCTGAAAGGCCTCCTCCTACTCATTGCCACGATTTCTCCATGCAGATGCTCCAGCCGGCAGCCCTTATATGGTTGTTTTGGCTTCAATAGTCTACAAGCATCAGGACTGAATTTCCTGCACTCCAGCCATTGGAAATGTAGCAGGAAGGGCATGGAGGAAAACTCGATTTATCTATTTAAACATATTATAAAGCTAGAGCAGACCCCCAGCCTCCTCTTTCTCCCCCCTCCCCCCCTCCCCTGTGGTATAAATAGATAGGCTTCTCTGTGTAACCTCTGAGAAATGTAAACATTCAAGACATGCAACTGAAGAGCTTGGACAGAAAACATTAATTAAAACTGCACTGATCTGTCCTGGAATTGTATCATTGGAGCCCCAAGTGCGAAAGGGGTGCACTTGAGATAGTAGTTGAACTTCTGCACATGCCTTCATCGGGGACCAGTGTGCGTGGAGCAGGTGCGTGTTTGTGCATATACATGTGTATGAGGTGCGTAGAAATCTCTTTCTGCATTAAAGTAGAAGATGGCTGTAAACCAGCAGTGGGGTCAGTATAAAAAAGTGATGCTATCTTGTTTTGGCTGGGGCGGGGGGGGGGGGAAGTGGCTTTCTATCCCAGATCCCTTTGGCTGTATCACTCGTGAAGGAGGAGCAGAGCATAATTCGTCTGGGGCGGGGGGACCAAGCAAGGAGAGCTGCTGACTTCTTGTGGGCCCTGGGCCTTTTCATGGCATCCCACAGCGCTGAGGTGGCCTTTAGGGAACTGCTTTTTTTAAAAGTCGTGATCAACTACCATGCAGCTCAGCTGGATGTCAGTCTTACAGTCTTGCAAAAGCTGTGCGCAATGGAGTCTCCCTAATTTGAATTCCTCGGTCCTAGAAAAGTGGGCCTTTCTTTGTCCCTGGGGGAGGCTCCAGTCTCACTTCTGGTGGGTGGGAGGACTTGAAAGGCTTTGGCCGGAGCCCACCAGGCAGGATATTGTGAGATGGAAGCAGGTCCCCAGGCCCCTCCCTTTCCTGAGAGCCAAGGAGGCCCTCCCTCGGGCGGCTTTTCTTCCCATCCACATCTGTGTGGGCTTCCTTTCTGCGGGCTCCATTGTTTCTCTCCCCCCCTCCCCCAACTCTTCCTCTTCCGCCTGGTTGCCACCTCTCCTGCCCCAGCCCCTTTTCACACTTCCTTTCTCGCTTGAGCCTTTTCTTCAGCTACATTCTGAATATTCTTTGGGACACCCAGGTCCCTGTGTGAGAGCGGGCAGCCTCAGGTGGATATTTGTGCAATCAAAAGGTGAACCAGGAATTGAACATCAAAAACCTGGTAGACCTGGGGTTACCTTAGATTATACTCACTTAAAACAATCTGAAATACAAAGTGCCTGAAATGCTACTATTCTGCAGGAGGGCCATCTAGCCATCATTGGCTCTGCCCAGAATCTGCCTTGCCCCAGGGTTGTGTAATCTGAGCGTGGGAATGAGCCACTTGGGCACAAACAATTGCCCCATTATTGAATGTCAGCTGCTGAATCCTAATGGGTTATTGGAAGCTCACATCAACCCAAAGACTCTTGAATGGTAACACTGCCGAACCGAGGGTGGACAGTTGAGATCACAACAGCAGCTTTCCTACAACAATGGACTCATTCAAGGCTGGACCAATTTCTGCCAGAATTCTAACAAGACACATTGGAGGAACCGGGCAGTCTGTGCAGGGGCACAGACAAGAAAGCCTCCAGGGCAGGTGGGGCTCATCGGTGAGGCCAGCAACATCTCCACATCCAGGTTGTTGGTTAAAACTTCAAGTGGGGCTTCGAGAGCGGTTGGCGAGAGCAGTTGGCCTTGGCACAGCCGGGAGCAGCAAAGAGGATGGAGCGCCAGAGGCTGCTGCTGTGGGGAGGACTGGAGAGTAAATGGCCTTGTTTAGTGCACCTGCAGAACAGAGGAAATGCCAGGATGAGACAAGGCTCATCCTTGGAGCCTTGCTGAAAGTTTTGGTTCAGGGGTGCAGTTGCTCTGGCCTGGCCCTCAGATGTAAGAGTGGCAATGTCTGCCCTCCAGATATGGCACTGTCAGCAGCTCCTACCAACATGCCCAGCAGCCACAGATGCCAACTGCAAAACGAGTCATGCTGGGAATTATTTTCCAAAGGTGGCTCTTTGTAGAACAGGCTAAACTTGGTTATTTGGAAACCAACATTCATTTGCACCTGCTGCTTGCCCTGGTGTGAGGATTCCTGACCATCTAGAAAGACATGGATGCATGGCATCCTCTGCCCGTCTTTCCTGGCTCCCTTCCTAAGGTGGGCTTCTCCCTTTCAGTGCCAACCAGGAGGGCTATCCTTTTGATCAGCCAAAGCTTCGCTGGCACTGCCCTGAGCCCTGATATTTAGGGCCGTTTCCCTTTTGGGTTGCGGGAGAATCCGCCTGCCCCCCCCCCCAGTGCTACCCCTTCTCTCATCTTTTAGCCCCCTGGGGTGGGGAAGTGACAGCTGAAGACTTGCCCCTTCTTCCCACAGGCAGGAAAGGAAGCAAGGGGAGAGGTGGGGGGGGAGAAACAGTCTTGGTGAAAAGGAATGCATGTACGACCCTGGGATGGAAAGGGAAAAAAACGGGTCACTTCTGAGAAAGAAACTCAAAATAACCCAATCTTGACTTCGCTTATTCTAAGACGGGCAGGGAGAAACTTGGGCAGGCTTTCCAGGCAGATGTGCCTGGGACTCCCGCCATGTTTCTTGATCTTGCCCACCTCTAAGAGTCAACACTTCTGGATGGGCAGAAGCCCCGATATGCTTCTGGGGGTGGGCTGGCAGTGCACTCAGTCAGGGTCTCTTTCAGGGGCCATCAATTTCCCTCGGCTCCCGGGCTGGAAAGCGGCACCTTCAAAAACAAAACTCTGGTGAATCTAATGAGAAAGTATCCAGAACACCAGAATTTCTGTTGCTAAGGTGACTGTTAAGTGAGTTGCACCCAATTTAATCTTTTCTGCTAGCGTTGCTAAGTGAATCATTGCAGTTGTTAAGTGGATCGTGCGGTTATTAAGCGAATCCAGCTTCCTCCATTGACTTTGCTTGTCAAAAGCCAGCTGGGAAGGTCACAGATAGCGATCAGATAACCCCAGGATGCTACAATCATCTTAAATACAGTCTGGTTGCCAAGTGCCTGAATTTTGATCATGTGGCCGTGGGGATGCTGCGACGGTTGTAAGTGCGAGGACCAGTCATAAGCAACTATTTTCAGTGCCATCGTATCCGTGAGCTGCAGATAAGAACAAGGGCTTCTTGGTCCCCCAATTTTCCATGTGGTGAAAGAAAAATGCTGCCCTTTTTAGGCTGGTCAGAGCCTAGACTGTTTCAGAAGGTGCTTTGATGCTGGGCTTGCTTCTTCTCATTACACCCGGAGGGAGGCCCTTCCTCTTTGTCTGCATCCTTCAGACTTAAAGCACAAGGCCGAAAACATTTGCCTGCCTGGGAGATGCCTTCCTCGGCCACTAATAGCTTTTATTGTTTGTGGATGCTCAAAGCCTGGGCAAGCAGGCAGGCCTCCTCCAGGGCCTCTTCAGAAACCAGCTCCTTAGCGCCAGGGCTCAAGGTAGTGAGAGCGGCTGAAAGGAAAAAGGACACACGTTTGCTCCATGTCGGCCAAGGCCGGTTGGCCCTTCTACTCTAGCATCTTCAAAAGAGTTTTTTGGAAAATTGGTACCTCCTCCCACCTACTGTGATCCTATCAGGTTTGGCATTGCAAATAGTTTTGCCCTCAGCTAACAAAATTCTTTCAACTAGCCAGCCACCTCCCTCCTTTAAGAGGCAATTCCACCTGGGGCTGTGGAGAGAACAGAGCCCTCCTTCCCCCCCCCAGCCACACTGCCTTGGGTCCCCCGAAGAGTCAGGTACCTGTGGGCGGTTCCAAAGCTCCTGTAGGTGTTCCTGTAGCCAAAGAACAGAACACTGTGGTGAGTTGCTGGGAAGCGGAGGGGTGGAGGGGGGGAAGGAGGGCGATGAGCCCCAGGCAAAAGGCAGTGCAGGGGTGATATTTACACGGTGTTGTAAGGAAGAGGCTTCGGTCCATATCGATCCAGGCTGGGATTCTGATTGAGGCAATACTAGCAGAAAAAAGCGGAAGAAGATGCCTTATGTTAAAACTGAGGACATCCATCCTTCTCCTCCGTCCTCCCCCTTTCTGTGAAGCTCCCCCCCTTCCTGCAGTCAGGCAGGGGCCCAGGCCCTCCCTGCGCTTGCTCTCCCCTCCCTCTGCGGCAGAAAGAGCCGGTTCCCTGCTCTGGGCTCTAAAATGTTCCATCAAAAGATCAGGACCCACATTGTGGTCTTGGCAATTCTTCGGCTAAAGGAGCCCTTCCTGGCCAACAAGACTAGACTAGAGGAAATATTTGCACTGCTATCACCACCCTTCTTAAGGAACCAAGGATCCCACAGCTGGACTGAGATCCCCTTTGCCCTTTTGAAAATGTCTTTTGAGCACCTCGTCCCTGGAACAAGGTTGTTCACCTTCCCAAGGGAGAACTTCTTGCTTACCCTCCAGGTTTGAGTGACGTCTGGTTTTAAGTATCTGACAGCATAACAGCTGAACCCAAGAACTGAGAAAGATGAAGGAGAGGAGAGAAAAGAAAAGAAAAAGACCAATATAGGAGAATATTTGTAGCTCAGTGTTGAAACGAGGGGTCCTTGGTGCTCTCTGAGCTTGGTGGTTTTCTTGAAAGGCGTTTCATTACCCAATGAGGTCACATCATCAGGTCGCAGCGTTGGCACATCTGACTCAGGCCAGTAGCCAGAAAGGGCCCCCTTGGCTGAGGGATCCTGCCTGGGCTCAGCCCGGCTCAGAAGCGCAGTTGCGCGAGCTTGTCGCTAAGTCGCCGCAGCTCCTGCCGGGAAACGGCGCCGGAGTCCGAGCAGAATCTGGCGCCCAACCTGCCGCGGACTCGCCGCAGCACCGCCGAGCGCGCATCTCCGCATCCCCGGCAGAAGCGCAGCCGCTGCCCGCCCTACCTTTGCGGTTGAAGCTGGGCAGCGCGAACTCGCCGGCGGCGGAGACGAAGCGGGACCAGTCCTGCATGGCGCGCGTGTAGCTGGGCCACTCCTCCTGGTTGGTGCCGGGCGGCAGCGGCGCCAGCTTCCCCGCGCGGTACCGGCCGGCCCGCGACTGGCGCAGCTCCAGCACGGCCTGGCGAGAGACGGGGGGGGGGGAGGCGGCTGCAGCAGCGCTCACGGGGGCGCTTCGGGGCGCCGGGAAGGGAAAGCCCCCCGCCCGCCCGCCCGCGACCTCCCTACGCGCAGGGCCTTCCGAGCGCCGGCCGCGGCTTCTTCCCCCGGCAGGTGGCGGCCTCGGGCCCGTCGGCTGACCTGGGAAAGCCGCGCGGGCTGCAACCTGCTCGCTCCGCAGACGGGAGGCCCGAAGCCATCCCGAGCCGCGACCAGATGGAGCGATTCAACCAGAATCCAGGAGGGGAAGCGGCGTTGCCCGAGAGCGCCTGGCCGGTGGCGTCGGATCTCCGGCCGGGGCCTGCTTCTCCCCCCTCCCGCGTGGCCCCGGGGCCCCCGATCCGCCGCCGGGCAGTGACTCACCCGGGAGGGGAGGGGCCTGCTGGGCACTCCGGCCAAGGTGAAGGTCGCCCTTCGGAAATCCTCTGCAGAAGACACCAAGCAGAGAAGTCGCGGGGAGGCCGCTTCGGGCTCTTGGAAGCACCACCGAAAACTGGCTGCATCCCAGAGGGGCCCTTGAGGCCTGGCAGATGTAGAGAAGGACCCCCCCCCAAAAAAAAACAGAAGAGGGGGCACCAACTAAACTTTTAAGATTTGCCCCTCCCCATTAAACGAAGATCATATCAAAACATTTGGGAGGCAGAGCTTCACGTGTCCCGTCTAGTTGACCGGCTGGAGCAAGAGCCCAAGTTCTGCCTCCGGTCTGGGGCCTCTGAGTGCACGGCCACCGTGGCTCGCCTTCGGACTGCATTGCACAAAGAGGAGCAGATGGGGGCCTGCCCTGGCTCTGCTCCCAGACAGCTTGGCTGGGCTGATACCTTTGGAGCAGGTGGTGGTGGTCCTGGAGTGCATGTCGGTGAGCCTGTGGGCCATGGTGTCCATGTCCATGCGCCTCAGGGTTGGCAGGCAGGGGTGGTAGAGGCGCTCCTTCACTCCAGCTAACATGGTCTTCTTGGGCTCCAGGGGAATGAGAACTGCAGGTGCTGCGTAGATGGGGCTGGCATCTGGCGGCCAGGGCACCAAGTCCAGAGCTTGGGCCATTGCTGCAAATTCTGCCAGCCAGCCCAAAAGAGAGAAGATATGAAGATATTGAAGAGTACTGGGCTTAAGACAGAACCTTGTGGTATCTCACTGCTTCCTTCCTTCCATGTAGACCTAGTACCATTAAGGGCTACTCATTGAGTACGGTTTGTCAGCCAGTTACAAATCCATCTAGTGGAGATGTCTATCCCACATTTTTCTAGCTAACCAAGAAGTAGGTTGTGGTCCACTTTGTCAAATGCCTTGCAGAAGTCCAAGTATACTATGTCCACAGCATTTTATTGGTCTACTCACTTAGTCACTTCGTCAAAGAATGAAATAAGATTGGTTTGGCATGACCTATTTTTAACAAACCCGTGCTGGCTTTTTAGTTATCACTTTATTTGTTTCTAGATGTTCGCAGATCTGTTTTTTGATTATCTTCCCAGGTATTGATGTTAGGCTGATTGGTCTGTAGTTTCCTGGGTCTGTTTCCCTTCCCCCCCCCCTTTTTTTTTTTTGAAGATGGGAATCACACCAGCTCTTTTCCAGTCCTCTGGTAGTTCCAGAAAATCATGGACAGACAATGTACACCTTGACAGAATGTGCAATTGACAGGTGAAAGGCCACACTGCTTGGATCCATACATACACTATGCCGATATATTATGACATCCTAGGGTCCTTGGTGAGAAACTGATGCGTATGAAGGCCAACTCTAGCTAAAGGACTGGCTGCTGTGACTTCACATTGTTGCGAGCAGATAACTTTAGAATTGAGCAGACAAGCACCTACCACATAACATCCCGTTTTAATAACTTTTGATAAGAAAGATCAAAAAATCTGGATAGTGGACACGGCTGTGCCTGGGGACAGCAGAATAGAAAGAACTGGAGAAAATCACAAAATGCAAAGGCCTGCAAATAGAATTAAAATGACTGTGGCAAAAGAAAGTAAAGACAGTACTAATTAGTGATAGGTGCCTTGAGGGCAGTCCCAAAACAAGTGCAGTCCTCATTGAAAAATTCACCATCAGTCAATTGCAAAAGGCAGCTTTACTCGGAATGGCTTACATCCTGCGGCAATATCAGTAACATCCACATCTGCCTATCCCAGGTCCTTGACAAATACCCTCTAAACATCTGGCTGAGTTTGTGAGCAACAACAACAACAACAATAATGCTATAATGTTAAGATAATTGCTTTCAATATATTGTTACTATTATTAGACATTTAGAATGATCCCTTCTCTTCCCCAGCCTTCCTTTTTCAATTGGCAGGGAAGCTGCTTACCCTAATCTTTTGACGGGCCCTGCACAGCGCAAAGGAGGGCAGGAAGGACCAGGTAAGCCAGACAGGGAGATGCAGAAAGGGGTGCTCTGGGGCCCCTGATGCTTTGGGGTGGCGATGCCAAGCGAGCTCCTCTCCAGATGTGGGCCCAACTTGTGAGGAAGAAGGAGAGTCCTGGGGCATCTCTCAAACCCTCACCTGCTGAGTGCCTGGTCTACCTTATGGGCCCTGCCCCCTCAGTCTCCATGACAACCTCAGGGAGCCAGGAATTGTTGGTTAACAGGGCCAGGTCGCTAGGCGACCCCAGCCAGGTCACTTGTGGCCCGAGTCCCTCTCTAGTGCTCACAGGAGGCACTGAGCTAAGCCCCCCTCCCCAGCAGCATCCAAATGTCAAGTTCAGATGTTTTCCAAGGTTTCCAAACAGTTGTTTCTAACAACTATAAGCAACTAAAAGGAAAAAAAGAATTGAAGTTCTGGAAATAAGGGACATGGAGATAGGGTGTCGATGGGAAGGGGGCAAAACATCCTTGTTTTTGTGTTGTGCCTTACTCTGAGTTGGGCAGCATCAGAGACCTGAACAAAGCCATTGGAAACAGCGCTAAGCCATCTGCAGTTTGCTGAGGGGGCAGAAGGCCTCGTCTCCTAGCAACCGAGGCAACAGCCAAAATCCTTGGATTATCCGGGAGTGGCTCGGCCGACCTCCCTGACCAGAAGGAGCCCCTCCCTTGCAGACGGAGGGGGGAGGCTGATGCCAATCCAGGTGACCCGAGAGCAGTGGGAAAGGGCCTTGGCCCGGGGCCCTCAGGTTTCCTCTTGCAACGTCCCCCGCATTGCACGACGTGCTTCCCTCGGCTGCAGAGGGTCTCCTCCTCGGCAAGGCCCTCATCTACCCGCGGGTGGGGGGCCTGAGGAGGTCGGGGTAGTGCAGCTCTCTGGGATTTGAGTGCAAGCCTGCAGCCTTAATCCAATTTGCACTCTCTGTTCTGAGCTAATTAATCCCCTGCCCAGCTTCCCAGGGCGCCTGGGCAGCAGAGCCAGGCTTCTCTCCAGGGGCAGCAGGAGGAAGCAGACGGCCATCTTACCTGCCTCGCTCGGTCTTTCTTTCTTTGGGGTAGGAAAGGGGGCAGAGCCTCCCCTCGGCTTTGCTCCGGGTAAGTGTGGGCCCGGCAGGAAGCACTCCCAGAGCAGCCAGAGGCCAGAGCCTGCCTGGTGCCCCGGGCCCCCACCCCGATCCTGGGAGTTCTGGAAAGCCTCCCTTCCCAGGTCCTTGGGACTCATCCCCGGCACTCCCAGGAAAGGGGGGGGGGATCTTGGGCATCCAGGTAACCCCCCACCCCCAGGTTCAGCCCCATCAGCCCCTGAAGTATCAGCAGCCCTCAGAGCTGCTTCCTCGAGAGGGGGCCTGGTCTTGCAACTGGGCATGGGGGAAATGCCCCCTCCCCTCGGGAAGAAGAGAGGAAAATGATGCTTTTACAGAACGAGGGCAGGGCTGGGGTGTTGCTCCCCACGTGCAGGTGATGAGCTGGGTGGAACCTACTTCAGTCACCTGAAGAGGACCACAGGTCACTCTGTGGCTCTGGTCACAGCAGAGAGATCTGGGCTTGCATCTGCAAGGGAAGCAAATGGGAAGCTGCTTCTCCGCAGTTGAGCTGGTCTCTGTTTGATAAACCTCCCCCTGGGGTCTCTTTTCCAGTCGCTTCTTAATCTCAGAGCTTCTCTCAACCATCCAATTTCTGGGTCTCCCCTGGCTCAACATTGGCACCCTGTCTTTGATTCAGCCTCGTGCCAGTGCCAGGATGTTTGACTGGATTGAGAAGGTGGTACCCCAGCCTCCTGTGAAGATCCATGTTTCTGTGGTGGGAGAGAAGGACGCACCAATGGAACAGAGTGCAGCTGTGGATGGGCCAGGACTTGCCCAGCTGGTGAGTGGCTGCCTCAAAGTGGCCGTTAGTTCTCTTACCTCCACAGAATGCCAGCCGGTGCCAAATGAGCGTGTGCAAAACCCAATCAGTTCTCAAACTTTTCACAAGGAGAAGTGGACCTTTCAGGGACGCAGTGGGGGAATAAGACTTGGGTCATTCTGTGTCATGGTCTGAAGTTGCACTGGCCACTTGACTGCTGGTGGCTAAACAGGCAGTGTGCTAGTGTGGCTGCATGCCCCCAGCTTGCTCTGCTGAAGTGAATGCACCACACAGGGGCTCAGCGGGATAGGCTGCAGCAGGCACGACGGCAAAACAGTTGCAGAGATCCCACCATGCATAGAACTGCTAGACTCTGTTTTGCTTTATTCCTTTTATTCTGAGACAGGTATGGCCAGCAGATGAACCCACTTGATGTGCTGAAAAAACGCCTCATATGAGACCCTCTACAGTTCTTACAAAGATAAAGGCAGGGGAGATTTGCAAGATTTTGTTACTGCGACCTTATAATTAAAAACAGTCTTAGCGTGTATGACTTTGGTTTCCTGATCTGGTCTGCCTTGAAGGACTGGCCAGATTGGCTTCCCTTCCTCAAGGGCTGATGTTCTCAGGGAGCACTGCAGAGTTTGCTCAGAACTAGGAGACTAGCAAGGATGGAGCCAAAGCCTCCTGCTGGCTGTTCCATGTTCCCCTGCTTGATGTTTCATATAATCCTTTCTTTGCTTAAAGCTGCCAGGAGGAGATTGCTGCAATCCAGCAGGAGGTAATTCAGCTCCCCCTCAAAGCTTTGGTAGGCAGGTGCCCGGGCTCTGCCCAGGGCAGTCCTTGCCCTCTGCCAGTCCCGTGGGGTGTGCTCTGTCAGGTCCTGGTGGGGGAGAGTCTCACTTGATTCCTGTGTAACTGCCGCAGTCACCTGTTCGCAATTTGGGCCCTTGGCAGCCAGCTCCATTTACCACTCTGTGGCCCATGGTTGCTATTGGCAACCTTCCCAGCCAGCTTCCGATGAGCAGAGTAAATTGGGAAATCCAGATTCACTTAACAACTGCATGGTTCACTTCACCATGATAAAAATGATTGTAAAATTGGGTCTGGTCATGTGATGACTCACTTAACAACCACATCACTTAGCGACTGAAATTATAGTCAGAAGTTGAAACTTCCTGTAGAAGAGATGCCGCTTTTTGAGATTCTGTTACACTCGGTGCCAGTGAGGGACGGTGGGATGGGCTAGGGCAGGGGTAGGCAACCTTGGCTCTTTTATGACTCGTGGACTTCAACTCCCAGAATTCCTGAGCCAGCTATGGGAGTTGAATTCTGGGAGTTGAAGTCCACGAGTCATAAAAGGGCCAAGGTTGCCTACCCTGGGCTAGGGTAAAGGGGCAGATGCCCAGGAAGGAGGGGGCGCATTCCAAGGAGAGGTGGGGGGAGACAAGAGGCAGCACAGTCCGGAGCTGGATTATGGGAAGAGGGGGAGATTTAGGATAGCCACTCCTAGAATCTCTCAGGGCATACCCATTGGGTGAGAGCAATTACGGGTTTAGTCTGGCAAGAGTCTGTCTATCGGTGTGAGTAAATAAAGAACTGAACTTTGGCTAGATTGTTCATTCTTGTTTTGGGGTGATGTACCCCCCATCCTCAAAGCTGCTGCTTCACTTTTACCCTGGGTCAAACGTTTCCCCTTCCTGAGTAAATACTCTGAAGCCACAGCAGCCCCAAGACTGCCCTGGTCCCTTCCAGAAGCAGGCCCGGGGAGCCTGGTCCTCCCAGCGTTGCTGAGCCTCAGTCCCAGGCGCTCCAGTCGGTGTGGCTGAAG